GGTTTGTTGAATGAATAAATGAACAATGTGTAATTTAAAAAACTTTTATTGAGCACGTATTATCTAAAACCTTCCTCATGCATTAACCTATATTAACCCCACAGCAACACCAAGGATGGTACTCTTATTCCTCCCTTCTACAGATTAGGAAGCTGAGGCTCAGGGAGACGTGTAGGATCTTGTGCATAGGTTCATAGCTGGTCAGGATGAACACGGCACCCGTGGTCCTGCTGTCTGCTCCTACACATCTCACTTTTGTCCCCTCACCCTAGGAGACAGGTGTCAGGATGGACCCCAGAGCCAGCTGTGAAACCACCCTCCCGGCCTTATACAGAACAGTCTCCGCTGCACGATGCGCACAGGCTCTGAGGACCACCGGGTGCTCCGACTGGGCAAGGAGGGGCGGCGTGTCTCTGCTGTAACGAGGGGAGGGGGGCTGGAGCTGCCGGACCAGGGACCCACCACCCAGATGGCTCCCGAGGTCTGGCTGGGTCTGTCCCACCTCGTGGATAGCAGTTTGCCTGGGAAGACAGGGCTGTGGGTGAGGCTGGGAGGCCTGGAGGCTGTGGGTGAGGCTGGGAGGCATGGGGGCTGTGTGGGGAGCAGCCCCCAGGGCCGCGTCCGTGGTCCATGACCGGCAGCCTCTGAGGTCTGGAAGCTTCTCCTCCAGGACTGCACACATGCAGCTCTTCAACATGGGACCCTCCCGCCCATCCCATCTGTGCCCTCATCCTTCAGTCCTCGGGGCTCTCTGGCCCTAAGAGAGGAGCTCCCTGACCCCTGGGCTGTGGGTGGGTTTCTGTCCCTCCTCCTAGGTCCTGTCCTCTGAGAAAGGCCTTTCACATCTACACATGGGACACTGGGGACAAAGCTGGGATCCTTATCACCAGCACCCTGCACAGTCCCTGGCACACAGTGGGCACTTTATGCATATCTAATGAAGGGGCGAATAGCTGAGATGGATGGATTTGAATGACTCTAATGCGAGTCTCAGTTTCCTTTTCTGTGGGTTGGCCTGCAGTGTGGCTGTGCAGGTGGAGACAAAGGACCCAGAGATGTGGGGTACACAGGCAGAAGTCAGAATGGGGGTTGCTATGATCTGTATTGAGGAGAAAGAAGCACGGGAAATGAGACAGGTGCACAAGGCTGTTTGCAGTGTCCCGCACATAGTAGGTGCTCACTAAATATAAGACATCATCCTCATCCTCATCACTGTTATTATTATCAGAATGCACATTCCCAAATCAGAAGGATCACACAGGATGAATGAAATTTTCTGTAGGTGAAAATGGAGAGGTGTGATGCTCCACATCACCCAGGGCTAATGTCTTGGCAGAAGTTCGTGTCATGGTGACTTTCCTAGGCTGCTGGGCACTCCTGGTCCTCCTCAGGTCTCTGTTCTGTGCATTGAAGGGCTTGGTCCTGCACCTTGGAGTCTGACATTGTGTGCTGTTGTGAACACTATTCACCAGAAGTCACCATTGCAACAGTTGCTGTTCAGCCTGAGCAGGGCAAACTGCCCAGCCCTCCAGGACAGCAACTTGTCCCCACTTGACAAAGTCACAGTGCCCGCGGCTGCCCTGTTCTTGATTGAGCAGCGCCCTCTAGTGGCAGGATGTGGATGTGGGAACAACAGGCAGCGCCTAGGTGAAGGGTCAGCCTGGGATGGGACCTGGCAGGGGCGGAGGGAGGAACCGGCAAAGGCCCTGGTGTGGCTCAGCTGGGATGGGGGAGGGGGGACCCGAAGAAGGAGGCTGCAGAAATTTCTCAGCTCAGGCCAAGCTATTCTCCCCCACGGGAATAGCATCCAGAGGGGCCCCCCGGTCGCCACCGGAGCCTCCCTCGGGCTTCACCCTGGCTGTCTCCATTTGGCTGGGTGACCTCCGCCATTTCCCGGGCTTCTCTGTGAATGTCTTCAGGTTCACCTGGCAGTAGAGGGTCTCCTTCTCAGGAAGGTGCCTGGATCCTCAGAAGTGGGAGCAGTTGGGATTTGAAAGGGTCAGGAGCTGGCAGGAGGGACCCTCTGGGATCCAAAGGTGACAAGGTTACACGAGGCCTTGGGCCTTGAAGGAACTTCATCCTTTTATGTGAGAACATTCCAAAACATGGTCCACAGCCTCCAGCCGGGACAGAGGACCAGGCCTTTCCCCTGGGGGTGCAGGGAAACACGACTAGAAAACGGAAGGACTGGAACCTTCTGCCCTTACCCTGGTCTTTTTAGAATTGTGGAGTTTGGACCTTCCCGCACCCCAGGGTCTGAGTATTAGCAGAAGATAGAATATACATCGCAGGACTCTGATGTTGGAGCCGCAGCCCTCAATCCAGGCCCCAGAGCTCAGCTGGGGAGGCTCTGGGAGGCGCCCTGCCCCCGGACCTCCTGGAGAGCAAGGGTCTCTCCGAACTTGCTCACCACCAGTAGGTCAGGGGAGGGGCCCTGGAATCTGAATTTCTAAAAAAAATCTCCAGGAGAGGCTGTGAGGCCTCCCAGATGTGGACAGCAAATTTAATCCAGTCTTGTCTCCTCTTCGTTCATCCAATGGGGACACCAAGAGGAAATGACTTGTCTAGACCTCACAACTAGCTGGTGGCAGGCTGGGACTCACACCTGGGCTTCCACGTCACAGGTGGCCAGTGCGTCTGGTGCTTTGTGGGACTGTCCACTTCCTAGATCCCCCGCCCCCGCCTGACCCTCAGACAAGCTGTAAGGAGCATACATGGATTCCTGGAGCCACTTCTGTGATTCAAGGGGCAGAGAGGTGCTGAGGACAGGGTGCTGCCCTCTCCAGCCTCTGGATGAGCCCACTTTTTGACAAGGGCTGGGAGCGGCTGCAGGCCCCTCCTCTTTTTTCAGCCCCCCTCCCCCAGCTGAAACCCTCCCCTGTCCCCAGGCACCCTGACCCCTCTCACCAGAGCATTCCAGCAGAAACCACCCCACATGGTTTAGATTCTGCTACTCCAAACTCATCAGCATCATGGTTTTGTAACTCCTGCTTGATGCCCAAATTTGCAAACGCAAATTTTTTCTTTTATTTAAAAAAAAAAAGTTGGGGTCTTAAAACAAAAAATGATAAAGCATTTCAGAGGCACACACTTCTGCAGATGGGAAGCCGGTGACCTGGCCAGGCGAGGAGGGGCTCTAGCTGTCCTCAGGGAAGCGAGATGAGGGGAGCGAGGGCCAGGTAGCAGCAGTGTTTGATGGGGACCCCGTCTGCCAGGTGGAGGGCAGGTGTCTCTGTCTTCGGTGGGGGAGGTGATGTTTCAGCAGTCGAGGCTTCACCCCAACCTGCAGCCTCTTCCTTCCCCACCCTGGGCCCTCGGGGCTCAGACTCTTTCTCTGCCCCCCTCTGCTCCCAGCTGCTGGAACCTGTGGCCAGTGCTAACCAGGAGGCCTGTCTGGGGGTTCTGGGGAGCAGGGGCTGCTGAGACAGACTGACAGGCAGTGAGAGCTTGGTCTAACCTGGAGCCTCCCCCAGCAAGCAGCCCCCCTGGGCCGTGGGGTGTCACTGTGAGACATAAAGGCTCGGGGGTATCTGGGGGTATCCTATGAATGTGGGTAGGTGGGGTCTCCTTGGCTTCTGACCCATCAATTTCCCTCCTTTCTTCCCTGAGAGACCCTCCAAGTTTCCTCTCAGCTCTAGATGTGCCGAGCAGGGCCACCGCCAAGAGCGAGCAGAACATGTGGTCCCCTTGGGACTTCCTCGGGCCTTCGATTCCCCATAGTATAGCCAGCAGGAGGTGGGGGTGGGGACGAGTCCCACTCTGCTTCCATGGCCTCTTCTGGTAAGAACTGCTCATTCCACCAGCAGTGACGCCCCAGCTGATCCAGCACGGGTCCCTGGAGGCCCTGGGAGTGCGGTCAGCTGGCAAGGATGGGGCCCTGAGGAAGGCCCTGGGCTGTGCTGGTGGGCTGCAGCAGGGGCCCCAGGGGCTCCCCCAAGGCCAGCTGGGGAAGGTGTCCAGGCTGGGCCTCAGGAGGCCCCGCACCTCCTCCTGTGGGAGATGGTGGCTGAGGGGTGTGGAAATGGCCTCTTGGGACTGGCCAGGGGACAGAGGGGTCACACCCTGGGTTCTGGGGGCTCCCTGGTGTAGAAACTCACGTGTGAGGACTCAGGTGGCCTGCCCGCTGCCCCTTGTAAACTGCCTTTCTGCCAAGGTGGGGTCAGGACAGGGTCAGGGAAAGATCTGGAGAAACCTTGAAGACCTTCTTAAGACTTCTATGAGATGCAGAGAGCGCCCAGGGGAGGGCAGAGCGTGGAGCTCTCTCTAAAAACCTCTGTGTGTGTGTGTGTGTGTGTGTGTGTGTGTGTGTGAGAGAGAGAGAGAGA